AACTGACGCCAGCTATGAAGGGCTAAAACGATGGGTGGCCGCTTTGCCCCGGGTGGCCGCTTTGCCCCACTCTCCCCTACTCCCTGTAACATATATATACTGACTGTACTGACAACTTGACAAGCGATCAAGTATATATACTGACTGTACCGACAAGCGATCTACTATTCGATGGGGACAATTTTAAAGACTCAAGAAGGATAAAACGTCACATTTAATTTAACCTTCTTCGCCCCAGTGGGGGGAGGGGGGCATATGTTACCACCCTGTCGCGTTTTTTGCGTGTGAATAAAAAAGCGCGGCGCGTCGCTTGCAGTAGCTTTTGGTATATCAATTTCGGACAATGTGTGAAATTTTTGACCCCAGGTCATGTCAGGTCAGGTCACCAGGTCAAGCTAACTGACCAAGCCTTGCCTTAATAAGCCTTAATAAGTTTGCAATCATGTCCAGCCTGCACTGTTTGTCAGATAGGTTTTAAACTTGTTGGATTGCATGATGTTATGGGCTACTACAATTTGTATATCTCGGATTTTTTATATCCGTGACCTAAGGTCAGGTCAGTGGCGTGACCTTACCATTATAAGTCAATGGAGAAAAATGAAAATGCCTCTAGATCCGTGTGTACGCATAGGAACAGTCCAAATATTTCAGAAGCACAATGATTTGGACCACCCGTGACGACCAAGGTGTCTTTTTTGCTGATAGCCTCTAGAAAGGTCATCCGAGGTCTTTTTTTTTAATTAGTCCGAACCTTTTGATGGGAAGGATTTACAAGGACAGAGCCACCGCTAAGCGAAGCTTGTTGCGATGACCCTGCCCTCTACCCTCCGATCGCTCAATTCCGATTCTATGGCAGAATTTAGAGTCCAAAGTTTAACCCGCGCACCGACGGGGGTCTGCGCCAACTTAGTACCGACGGGGGGGGGGGGCGGATGACCGCCCCCCTGAGATCTCGAGAACGAAGCAAGATAGCGACAAGCGGTAAACGGCATCGGATACGCACGGTCAAGATCTACAATTTTTACTAAGGTCATTTTCAGGTCAGGTCAAAGATGACGTCACAGGGGTCGAAAAAGTCAAAATGGCGGCGCTGAATATGGAGAGTTTTTCTCGAATAACTTTCGAATTAGTCAAGGTAGGAACAAACTAAGGGCATCATCGTGATCCTCTCGTCAATCCGCATCGAATGATATATATGTTGACCTCGAAAGGTCAAGGTCAAAGGTTGACCTCAGGTCACGTGACCTCGAGGTCATCATGTATATCATTCGATGCGTCTTGACGAGCTGAACACAATGAGACCATCCACGCGTCTGTATCTTGTTCCTGTACGGAGTTATTGGCCAAAAACCTTTGGTGACCTTTGATGACGTCACATGACCTCACAGCTGCCCAACAGCAAAACAGACCTCAAGGTAGTGAAGGTTGATCGTATATGAAGTCATGTATGGTATATGGGGCCATTCCGACCCGTTTTAGTGGTAAAAACAGGGAGTTGATTTTTCCCCCATTGACTTATAATGGGGAGGTCGCGAAATTGACCTGACCTTAGGTCACCGATATCAAAATTCCGAGATATACAAATTGTAGCTACTAATGACCTAATAACATCCTGCGACTTTCAAAGGCCTCCGACATCTACTGTAGCTCTGGCACGGTGACAAAGTTGCAAAAAAGTGACTTGAGGTTGGGTCATTCAAAGTGACCTGGTGACCTGACCTTGAAAGGTAGGAGGTTCAAACTTGCACACCATGTGTAAAATTGATGAGGGTATAGTCATACCAAATTTCGCGTTCCCGCTATTCGCGAAAAACCTCAGGCGGGGGGGGGGGCGGATATCCGCCCCCCCCCCCCGTCGGTGCGCGGGTTAACGTGCGCACAAAGCCGCGCACGGCCGGTCCCCTCGCTGACTTCGCCTGGCTACGGCCTGCCACCAACCGCAACCATACCTGTCAGGAGGCCCATAAATGATGTCGAGCGCCCGTCGCGCTTCGAACCCGGACCGTCATAACCGGGAACGCGTGCTCTCACCACGCGGAGTCCAACGCTCTAACCAACTGAGCTACGGGACCGGCATTTGAGGCTACAAACATATTTTTGCCAATAACTCTCGATTGGGAAGAGATAGGACGCTGGGGATGGTCTCATTGTGTTTGTCTTGTTGAGACGCATCGAATGATATGCAATATGACCTTTTCCGGTCAGGTCATGACCTTGACCTGATGTCAAATTTTCAAGTTGACCTTTCAAGGTCAAATTATAGTTCATTCGACGCGTCTCGGCGAGAGGAACACGATTCTGGCAATAGAAATGTTGTGGCTTTTTTTAAGTCAAAAGTTATTGTCGAAAAACACATTTCGAAAAACAGCTATTTTTGGAGTTTTTGCCCTCTGGAGGCTAAACCGTTGACCTGAGGCCAATTTTGATGATGACCTTATCAAAAGAAGAGTTCAAAAGCTATCGATTGCTTTTCCATGCGTTTTTCTAGCTATCATAGTTCCTGAGATAAATGCATGTTTTCTGAGAAATATAATGACATTTGGCAAATTTTGACTTTTGATGACCTCCAGTGACCCCAATATTGCTCTAAGATGAAAAATGACCGAAATACGTACGCATTGAGAGCTATCGACTGCTTTTTACCGTGTCTTTCTAGCCCTCTTAGTTTTTGAGTTAGAGGTGGGTGGTAACATATGTCCCCCCCCCCCCCTAGGGCGAAGTTGGCTGAGACCGCCACTGGGGCGCGGGTTAAGGCGTCTGAAGTCGCTTTACATCGTCAAGTCAGGCCCGCAATGATAAACTATTGAAGTACGAAAAGGATATCGTTACTTGGCGCTCCTCGATGAAATATAAGGTGTTAATAGGAGGGTAAAATTTCATGTGCAAAAAAAGGTTATTCTGTCGTCTGGCCACCTGGTTTATTTGGTTACCTGGTTTCTCAATGCAGTGATAAATGTAACTGTTGGCTGAAGATGTCTTTGCTCAAAGACCAAGCGCTGAATTTACAGGAATTTACACATGACGATATGCAATGAGCTGTACTTCTTGTTTCACCTTACTTTAAAGGTTGGTTTTATCGATTCCTTGAGACATTTCATTATTAGACGGCAGTTATGTGGGGCGCTTAAGTTACCACCGGCGCGGCGATCTTACGTTAAATTTCAATTCAAGTTTGGGGTGCGTGGGTTTATCACACCTTTAATGAACGCTGTTATTTACATAGGTGTGATAAGTAAGCGAAGCCAAGGCATGATTTGGTAGGCTGGCAGTTGGTGAGACGAATATTCACTTACAGGGTGGACAAAAAAGAAGTGGAACATTTTTTGGAACTCCGCAAAAAAATATTGCATGCAGGCGACTGGAATTAATACTGATTTGCGTTTTTTTTCCCTGGAGACTGCAGTTTCTTCAGTGGACTGCACATACCCCTGATGGACTGCTTGAAGGTTATCTATGGCGATAAGCTTCTTGGAGTTACATTCAACGTTTTTCTGAAGTTTCTCCTCACGATCGTTATGTTTCGAACTGCCCCATACCTACTCCAAAATCACCCACTTGTGTTGTTCCTCACTGAACGACGGTGGACTGTGCGTGCTCGTTTGGTTGGGCCTTTCCAGGCCTCAGTGTGGTCACGACCGTCGGTAAAAGGGAACAATATATAATAATAATAATAATAAAAGGGAACAAACCATGACACCATACAAAATGTCCCGCATTCATTTATCACGTGCATCGCTTTTTGCACTCGCCTTTCCGATTTACGGACCACCATTGATGTTTACTTTTACCTAACAGTAAAAAAATCACCGTGTATATAGATTATAGCCCCTACCATACTAGGTGCGTTCAATAAGTAAGTTCCGGAGACGGGAGAGCAATTACATAAAATTCACGCGGTCTGCGCACGTGATTTTTTTTTCAGGGATTAAAATTCAGACTTATATGTCGAAGTGACCGCATTTTCAGCTTCTTATTCCATTTCTGTGACGATATGGAGCAGATCAAATAACACCATTTTTTAGACTGCTTTAGAAATGGCATCGGCCACCCAATCAACGCCAAGTGACACCAAGAGGATCAACGTTCAGTGATACGATTCCTAGCTATCCAGGGCGAGCCGGCGGCTAACATCCACGCCAAGCTCGTGAATGTGTACGGGAGCCATGCTCTTAGTGATTCCGCAGTTCGGAAGTGGAAGAGAAAGTTTGGGGAGGGGAGGGAGAGCGTGCGCGACCTGGCACGTGCAGGCAGGCTGAGGACGATGGTCACAGCCACTAGCGTCGCCAAAGTGGAGGAGATGGTGATGGCCAACAGAAAGATTACTGTCCAAGCGATAACAGAAAGCCTAAAACATAAGCCTACGCCAGGATTATCAGAGACCATCTCCTGCCAGCAAGGGCCAGTTGCCGCCCCGAGAAGGCCCGTGGTCGGTTCATCCTCCACCAGGATAACGTGCCTCCTCACCGTGCCTTCGTGGCGAGGGATGCCCTGCAGGCAGAGGGCATCGAGGTGCTCTAACACCATCCCTTATCTCGACCTTGCACCCAGTGACTATTGGCTGCTCGCAGACATGAAGAAAAATCTCCGGGGCCGGAGGTTCGGCTCGCGGTCTGCACTCGGGTCTGCTATTTACCATAATGGCGAAAATACCCCCACTCAAAGCTTCCGTGCGGCCATCCGGGACCTGGCCAAGCGATGGGAACGATGCGTTCGCCTGCAGGGCGAGTTGGTCGAGCCGTGAGCCATGTTTGGTTGAGATGTGCGGGCCAAAAAATAAACGAGCTATATCAAAACGGAACTTACTTATTGAACATACTGGTACATAGAAGGATATAAGCCTCTGAGTAGCGTGACTACGGCCGACCGGCCGGCCGCTTATGCTGATAAATGTTTGCTGTTCTACGAAAAAGGCTTCGCTTCGTTCACTGGCTTGTTATGAGCATGGTGGCACGCTCGTACATATAATTTGAAATGACTATACGAACATGATAAGCACTTACCTGATTGCTTGGACTTGTCGGGTGTCAGAATGCCTCGTTTGGCCAGTCTGGCGGCCAGGGCCGCAGGGAGCGGCATTGTGCTGGCTGCTCAGTCTCCACACCGACTGGAGGCCGAAACCGCGGCCGCGCCGGCTGCCGCCTCCAGGCACACGGCACAACACTGGACCACCACCTGCAACCACGTATTGGTCAAGATCAGCTGCAGAGTGCTCTGGCAAGAAATATTGTCCAAAACATACGCGTAGGAATGTACTATGGATTTCAGACCCCATAAGGCCTGTTTCTATGCGATAATTTCTTTAATATTTGTCCAATCGGCTTCAACTTTTCACAAAGGACCTTTCAGCTCAAACGCCGATTTCCGTCAATATAGTACCCTTAACAAAATGTCAAAATTTAGGGTGCTTGTAGCTGCCTCATAATGTTAAAATCAGCTCCGTTAATCCGTTAGCGGAGTATACAGGGTGGCCAGAGTTGACCGAACACTTTATCAATGTAGGTATCTATAAGATAATGAAAAAATAATTGCACTTATTTTCTTTTTATCGACCGATATACACAACTAGGGCAGTTACGAAATAGCACATGCAACGGAAACTGTAGTTACAAGATTAGCCGCCTATTGCGGATCAATAGTTACAAGTCCATCCTGTTTCGGGTGGTTTACGGGTCTCGTTTTCGTTGGCCTCTTGCTGAAGGATATTACAAATATTTTATATTAAAGTTACATAAAATCTGCTGCCACGCCATAAGGCACTCTCTTAACCCGCGAGTTGCTGGGGGGGGGGGGGCGTTAAACGCCCCCACTTTTTTCGCCGGGCCATAGCATAAAAATGGCGCGCCGCGCCAAATTTTGGGTACCTGCAGGGAATTGATTTAAGTTTATTGTAACAAAGTTTCAAAAAAATCGGTCGGAAAATTTTTGAGATATCGAGGTTTTAGTGACGTCATGATTTCTGGGTTTTCGACCAAAAACGGCATATGTTAAAAAAATCATAAAATCACAGAATAGACATACAGACATGCCGTAAACGCCATTAGAATGCCAATACCATGAACAATCAAATGGCTATCTTCGATTATTGATTATCGTTCCGCATTTTCCAAAATCTTGAACTGAATCTTGACAATTTCTCGTGACTACTTCACGACCATGATACATGACTTTCTTAAATTGAACTTTTTGAGCCAAACACGTACACATATGATAAAATGAATGTCACCATCGTGTTCTACGGCCCAAATTACCCATAAAACATGTGTCATAGGCTGCGAATAACAGTTTTGATTTTCGGGGATATGTGCCTACCCGGTTGACCTGACCTTGACCCTGACCTATGCTTGACTGACCCCTACATGAAACTGACACTCTTGTAGGCCTTATATGATGGATTGTGCACCGTTTTGACAGAGTTTCTGACGAGAGGCGCCCATTGCGAAGTCCTGAAGTCCATGCTACTGAAAGCCCGATTTCAGGTGTTTGACCTGACCTTGACCCGACCTGTGACCTCAAAATTCAACTTTAAAGTACTCATCTGAAGCGTCTCGTCGCGTTCTTTCGTTTGCCGCCTCGTGTGTTTCGCTGCGCCTATTGGTTCTCGAGTTATCGGCTGGGGACGTTTAACGCCCCCCCCCCCCCCCCCCAGCAAACGGCGGGTGGCGAAATACCCCAGCAACTGCCGGGTTAAAAAGGGCCTACAGAGTACAGCACTGTTAAATTGTTTCTGACGTCTGAAGTGGAGAGCCTCAGGGGCGTAGCCAAGGGGGGGACGGCCATGGGGGTCATGCCCCCCTTGGAGCCCAAGAGGGCCCCCATCGCGCCAGGCCAGGGGCCCCTAATCCATAGGGGCCCCTGGCTGACACAGTGGGCCCTTGGCGACGCAAAGGCCCCTGCGACAGATCCTTTGATGCAGCTGTGTAGCCATAATTTGGCCAAGGGAGCCCCAATTTTAGAGCCTTGGGGCCCTTTTGAAACCAGGAGGTCCAGGTGGATGGGATGGGTCCAACGGTGTGTGCACAAAATCAAGGTGTAAATAATATGCATATTTTATTGTAGAACATCTGAAGGGCCCTCTGTTAGTCTAAAGAAACCGCTATTTGCGTGAGGGGCCCTTTTGGACCGAGAGGGCCTTCTGTCGGTCTGAGGGAATCCCGAACGGCCTGAGGAACCCGTTGTTCGCCCGAGGGGCCTCTATCAACTGGAGGGGCTTTTTCCCCACCTGAGGAGGTCCTCCAACCTTAAAGGTAGTGTGCCAGCTTTCCTGAACCATATGGAGTTAATGACCCGGATAAGGAGAACCGGATTTTTAGAACTTATCCATACCTTCAAAAGTCATGGAAACGTCTTAAATTCTTCAAATTTTGAGTACCCCAGTACGAAATTCGCCCCGACGGGTTGTCGGTCGTACCCTAACCACATTTCACACCACTATGAACAATAAATGCACACACTAAAATCGCTATTACCGATAGGCTCATCCAATCAAGTTTCGATAAACCCGTTCATCATCATCTCCTGCGGTTTCGAACACGCCTGTTAGGTGGCTTCTGCTCATACTTTGTGGTGTGGTGGTGGTGCGTCGGGCCGCGCGCTCTGACTTCGGCCAAGAAAAATGCGTCAGCTGATCATTGTCATTTCTGCCACTTTCGTGTGATGAGATGGGTTCATAACTTAAGAGACGGCTGATTCATATCAATTATTTTACATAAAAGCATATTTCAAACCATAAATTAATGTTCGACAGCCAAATTAAAGAAACAATACCAATACAGGCTTACAGTTTAAGTTCGACATTGTCTTCATTGTCTACGATTAGACAGCTGATAACTCATTTCCGTACGTCGTAACTCTATAATGACCTTTGCTTATTGTCACATGTGCGACGCATTCGCGATTGCTGCCGACGCCTGTTTGCAGGTCAGCCCACTACAGTTGTTATACATATCGAAAAACCGATAAACTTTTAGTCGAAAAAAAAACACTATTCCAGGCCCATTTTTGATTTTTTTTTGCGACATCAGGTAAAAACAGAAGCTTCTTATCCAAGGAAAAATAAAATGGGAAATCGTTGGAAGGTAGCACACTACCTTTAACCCGGCAGTTGCTGGGGTATTTCGCCACCCACCGTTTGCTGGGGGGAGGGGGGGGGGGCGTTAAACGCCCCCAGCCGATAACTCGAGAACCAAAAGGCGCAGCGAGCCGCACGAGGCGGCAAACGAAAGAACGCGACGAGACGCTTCAGATGAGTACTTTAAAGTTGAATTTTGAGGTCACAGGTCAGGTCAAGGTCAGGTCAAACACCTGAAATCGGGCTTTCAGTAGCATGGACTTCAGGACTTCGCAATGGGCGCCTCTCGTCATAAACTCTGTCAAAACGGTGCACAATCCATCATACGAGTATAAGGCCTTCAAGAGTGTCAGCTCCATGTAGGAGTCAGACAAGCATAGGTCAGGGTCAAGGTCAGGTCAACCGGGTAGGCACATATCACCGAAAATCAAAACTGATATTCGCAGCCTGTGACACATGTTTTATGGGTAATTTGGAGCGTAGAACACGATGGTGACATTCATTTTATTATATGTGTACGTGTTTGGCTCAAAAAGTTCAATTTAAGAAATGCATGTATCATGGTCGTGAAGAAGTCACGAGAAATTGACAAGATTCAGTTCAAGATTTTGGAAAATGCGGAACTATAATCAGTAATCGAAGATAGCCATTTTATTGTTCATGGTATTGGCAGTCTAATGGCGTTTACGGCATGTCTGTATGTCTATTCTGTGATTTTATATGAATTTTTGAACATATGCCGTTTTTGGTCGAAAACTCAGAAATCATGACGTCACTAAAACCTTGATATCTCAAAAATTTTCCCGACCGATTTTTTAAAAACTTTGTCACAATAAACTTCAATCAATCCCCTACAGGTACACAAAATTTGGCGTTTAACGCCCCCCCCCCCCCCCCAGCAACTAGCGGGTTAAGGAGGTGACCAACCTTGCCTACTACCCATCCATTGGCAACAGTAATCACATGCTACTGCAATTTGAGGTATTCTGCTACATGCACCCTGCGTAGTGAGGGAGGGCCGCCTCAACCTAAACAAGGGGAACTATCTTCGGCTCAACAGCCTGATCAGACAGTGGCAGCAGCATGATGCAGCGACTATGGACATGCAAGGACGCTACGAAACTTTCAAGACCGAGCTGGCTCACCTGGTCAAAGCATGCGTCCCCAAGGCGTGCCCAAGGAAAAACAGAAACATCTAGGGGAGAGTGGGGAAAGATGCCCAGGGTTTGAATATGTCATATATTATTCGAAAATGACGATCGGAAAGCCAAAACTTGGAGTTTCAACGGAAGCCGACATTATTTTTCTAAAAAAATATCACACTTTCGTGCCTGAAACATGATAACTTTTTTTTGCTATTAAGCATTATCCTGAAGAAGTGAAAGGGGGCATCTTACCCCACAGGGTGGAAAAGACGCCCCCTGGCGTTGGGTAAGATGCCCCCTGCACTATAAGTGACAAAAATAGGCACGTGAATCGCCTGAACGAATCAGTAGTCCCTTCGAGCCTGCAGTAGACACCAAACGTCATCGTAAGGGCCCTCAAAAGTAGTCGTAAGGGGCTTCAGAGGTCATCGTTAGGGCCATCATAGTCCAGCGTGGCCAAACAAGCCTCCGTGGTGGCGTTCGGAGACCACTGTGGGGCCCTTATAGGTCTTCATGATGCTTGAGGGCCCTCAAGCCCATCGTGGGGACCTCAGATGCCAGCGTGACCCGTGGAGCCAACGTGGGAGCCCTCAAAGGATGTCGTGAGGGGCCCTGGAACCAATAATGGGGCCCACAGAGGCCGTCGTGAGGGCTCTCAGAGTTAGATGCCGCCCAAAAAGTCGCTGTGTTGGCCGAGAGACCGGCGTGGGGAGCAACTGACCGTACCGGACTCTCAATAGTCCCAGATCGGCTTTTGTCTCTCATCACAAGTATGTAATAAATGATTTGACGGGCTGCTTGAAGAACAGCCTACGGATTTAGGGGGGCGTCTTTCCCCATCAGGATAGGGGGCATCTTACCCCAAGGTAGCGAAGTAACATTAAATCAGCACAATTTGTTAGCCATAAAACTACACCCTGAAACAAACTGTTTGGGACACAGTACACGCATGTTAATGT